TGAGAAAGAAGGGACATTATAGGCACGACATGAGCTACACAGCAGCAAGAGAAGGCAGTGGAACATGGGATGACGACCAGTCATTAGCACCAGCGTTACTACCACCAGCACTACTAGCAGCAGCAGATGGGGAAAGCACCACTGACTGACTGACTGACTGACTGACTGACTGACTGACCTGCTCCGCCACCATCACCGCCCTCCCCTTCCGCCCCTCCCTCCGCTGCTCCTTCCGCTTTCGATGCTGCCTCCCCACTCTCCACAACCCCACCCGCACCCTCCTCCTGCCCCTGCTGCTGCGCCCCACCTCCCTTCTTGCCCTTCTTTTTCTTCTTCTTCTTGCTCTTCTGTCCTCCCGCCCCTTTCTCCTGCCATCCACCACAACACACCACACCACACCACACCACACCACACCACGCCCCACCACGCCACGCCACACCAGACCGCAGCACAGCACAGCACACCAAGCCACGCGGCACAGCACAAGGTAGGAGAACGTCCGACTCGTGATGCATGGTCAATAAAGAGTCTCCTACAATTGTTTCTGAGTGGAATGAGGAATCAGAAATAGCTTCCCAGAAGCAAAGCGTTCCCCACAAGTCTTCCAAACGCCAAGGTTTACAGTCGTCGAAGAAGGGGGAGCGGGGGGAGGGGGGGGGGAGGACGGTGGAGGGGGGCGGGGGAGAAAGTGAGGTTCAAAGAGCAAGGGAATGAGACGAGAGGTTGAATTCATTTGAAGACAGTATCCAAAATGACAATTCGGCAACCCCCACATGTCTCACGTGAAAAGATTCTGCCCGGCGCCACAACACACGCAGCTCGCGCCGCGTGGTAGCACGCGCGGCCTTCGAGTGGCCATAATTCTGAACATCTAAGTCTGCCCAGCAGTAGCTATTTCATTTCCCCCTCTTCCGCAAAAAAAACCTCTAAAGTCATGAATTCGAGCGCTCCTCACTCGCGACCCACCTCCGTTGCTTCCTCGCCTTCCTCCACGTCATCTCCCAATCCTTCCTCCTCTTCGAATGCCGGATTCGAAGGCGGATTCTGCGGGATAACCGCCGCCGCCTCCTCCTCGGCCGCTAGCGCGCCTGGCATCGCGACGCGGTGAAGCGAGCCTCAAGGAATTGCAAAAACGAAAACGAAGCGGAATTTTGCGAGAATCAGGCACCAGTTGGAAAATCGGAAACGTGGCGAAAACTCTGCGGGACGGAAGGCGGCGGTGACGAGAGTTGGGGTCCGGCGGCGGAAGAATTGGCACAGGGTGGAAGGAAAATCCGTGCCCAAAGAGCAAAATAAGGATGAAGTGGGGCCGACATAACTGGCTGCCAACAGGGGAATTTTTGAATACTGTACCCCAAGCGCGAAAACCCTAAGGGCGCGGAGGAAGGCGAAGGTAGCATCGATTTCGGGGGATGGTAGTACTGTACATTGATCTGTAGAAGCGATGGAGGCGATTGATCGCCAACTCGATGTACGGCCGATGTTGTTACAATGGTCATGATGTTTATGTGCTTCGCAGATTTTACAGACTCCAGAACAAGTCCACTTACGACTGTCGCAATAAACACAGCAACCCGATTTGCGGATTTCGCTTGCGTGATGACGAATTATGCATGTCAGGAAACCCAAGCATTTCTCATTTCACTTCAGATTCCGAATTCTGTAGATTCAGGCGCTGTGGAGGCTAGCAGCGCCGTGCGCGTCAATGGCATCGCCCTCGCGCACCTCCCCGCCATTGCCGCGCGGCCCCAACTTCTTTGCGGGCAATCCTCTGCTGCCACGTAAGCAGGAGAAAGCCAGCGTGGCGCAGCTCCTCAACCCGCCCGACAGCGTTCCCGCCACGCCTCCGCTCCCGCCGCTTTCCTCCCGCCCTAACTCCGCGCTTCCCGGCTCCGCGCCCTCGAAGTCCCCCCTGGGAGTCGCACATCTGCTGCGCGCCGTGCCCCCGTCAAGAACATCCTCGTTACCAGCCCATTACTCCCTCCCGCCCGGCGACGTGCCTATATCGAGTCTGAACGGGTCCAGCAGCGCGTCGACCCTTTTAGGCACCCCGGATTCTTCGCGAAGCGAACCGAATGCGATCCGGATCGAATCAAATCCGATCCGGATCGAGCCTCAGGTGCTGGCGGTTCTGGACGGGCGTGTCCTCGTCGCCTGGTCGCAGCGCCGCCTTCCATCCGCCGCTGCCGCTGCCGCTGCCGCTGCCGCTGCCGACGATGCAGGTTCGGCAGAAGGTTCGGCAGTAGGCTCGGACGCATTGCTCTCCGGCTGGTGCCTGGCCTGGCAGCCTCTGTCCTCGTTTGAAGGCAGCAGCGGCAGCAGCAGCAGCAGCGGAGGGGGTAACAGCAGCGGCAGCAGCAGGGTGCGGGAGAAGCTGGTGTATCTGGGGGAGAGGCACGGCGCGCCCCACTTCGCCCTCGAAGTGCAACTCGACCCCTCTGCTTCTGCTGCCGCTGCCGCCCATGCCGCTGCTGCTGCTGGTTCCTCGGCTGCTGGTGCCTCTACCGCTGCCAATGCTGCCGCCAGTGCTGCGGCAGGCACTGGCGCTGCAGGGGCGGAAGTGAGGGGAGGGGGAGGAGGAGGAAGAGGAGGCGGGGACGTGGCAGGTCAGCGGCTCACTGGCAGCCTGGCAACTCCTGCCACGCCTCCGCCCAGTCCTGACACGCCTGCCGAACCTGCCTCCGAACCTGCACTTGCCGCCCCTGCCGAACCTGGTGCAGCCGCTGTCGGCACTGCTCGCGACGCGACCTCGTCTCAGGCTGCTGAGAATGAGGCAGCACAGGGGAATGGCAGCAGGGGTAATGGGAATGGGGGCAGTACTGACGGAGGGGGAGGAGGGGGGCGAGAAGAGGGAGGAGAGAGAGGAGCAGGAGGAGGAGGAGGGCGGGGGGAGAAGGGAGGGGGAGGAGGGCGAGAAGAGAGGGGAGGGGGAGGGGTGGTGATGGTGGCGGGGTATGGGCGGGCAGTGTTTGTGGATCTGCGCACCCTCATGCTCGCCACACATCCCCTTGATGACCACGCCCGCCACGACCTTGCGATAGCCGGCCATGTGAGTCTGATGCATGCAGCATTGGGGTGGGGTAAGGTGGGGTGGGGTGGGGTGGGGTGGGGGGTGGGCAGTGTTTGTGGATCTACACACGCTCATGCTCGCCTCGCCACTCACCCCCTTGACGCCCACGCCAGGCACGACCTCGCAATTACTGGCCATGTGAGTTGTGAGGCGTGCAGGAGTGGGGTGGGGTGGTGTGGGTGGGGGGGTGGGGTGTGGTGGGGTTGGGGTGGGGTGGGGTGGGCTGGGCTGGGGTGGGGTGGAACGGATGCTGGCAGTGTTTGTGGATCTGCGAAAGACACTAAGTGAAATACGCCCCGCTTATTCTCTCAGCATCCCTCCCCCTCCCCTCCCCCGGCTCCCTTCCCCCCCACCAGGCGCGCGCCCTACTGGCATGGCATCGATCGGCGCGTTTCTGCGGTACATGTGGCGCGCGCACGGCCCCCTGTGAGGCGGGCAACCGCCGCCTCTGCCCCGTCGCTGCCTGCCGCTCCAAGCTCTACCCGCGCATCGACCCGGTGAGCTGGCGGCTGCTGTGCCTGAGCATGTTGTAACTTTCCCCTTTTTTTCCCAATGATTTGTCGATCCGGTGGTGAGCTCAGCTCTACCGCGCATCGACCTGGTGAGCTCAGCTCTACCGCGCATCGACCTGGTGAGCTCAGCTCTACCGCGCATCGACCTGGTGAGCTCAGCTCTACCGCGCATCGACCTGGTGAGCTCAGCTCTACCGCGCATCGACCTGGTGCACACACATGCACCCTGGGGCCTGGACTATCCTGTGCTCCCAGTGGACTTGAGACAAAATTCTACTAGAGCAGCAGAGGCATGCTCAGATATGAGGAGATGCTCCTCTTGCTTCCATGCGTGGTCCATGGAGCCTTGCTTGCTGCAAGGCCCAATAAATCATTCACTGGTACAGGGCACAGACCACAGTTTGAGAGGAATCGTGTTGCTGCCTCTTTGGTGATTCTTGAAGCTACATGAACGCTCACCTCGCATGCCCTCCCCCCCCCCCCCCTTCCCCCATCAAGGTCCCAATCCCCATAGCTGCATATACCGTCGTCCATCACCCCACCCCACCCCACCTCACCCCACCCCTTCCCACCGCACTGAAACGCACTGTACGGCTGGTGATGATCATGCTGGTGGTGCACTCACGGTCAGACCGAGTGCTGTTGGCATGGCAGAACCCCATTTCCCCATGATGTCGCACCCCACCACATTCCACCGCACTCCACCGCACTGCATGGCAGGTGGTGATTATGCTGGTGGTGCATGCACGGTCGGATCGAGTGCTGCTGGCACGGCAGCACCGCTTCCCCGACGCCATGTGGAGCTGCCTCGCTGGTTTCATGGAGGTGCGCTCATATGTTCATCCGTGCTGCGTGCTCCCTGCGAGGGTGCGAGCATACTTATGCTGCCCTATATGCATGCATGCGTGCTCCTGTTAAGGTGTGTGGCATGTGCTGCTCTACATGCATGCATGCGCGCTGCCACTTCCCCTCGGGAGATAGGGGAGAAGGAAGAGGGGGAGGGGAGACATACAAAGGAACAGGATACGAAGGGGGAAGGAGGCGAACAGCCTTTGACCTGCCAGTTAAACCTGTCCCTTCCTCTCCTCGTCCCTCTGTGTGCCTTCTCTTCCCATCAGCCCGGCGAGAGTCTAGAGGCAGTGGCGAGGGAGGGGAGGGAGGAGGAAGAGGGGGAGTGGGTGGGAGCATACATAAGAATGATTTCTGAGGCCCTTCAAACACCCTCCTCGTCCCCCAGTGTGCCTTCTCTTCTCAACAGCTGGGCGAGAGTCTGGAGGAGATAGAGGCGAGGGAGGGGAGGAAGGATGTGGAAGCTTGCCTTCGGCTTGTCCCTCGCCTCTTATGACATGCACGTTCACCCCTGCCCTCCCTCGCCCCTTCTCCCCCCTCGCCCCACCTTCCCATCAGCCCGGGGAGAGTCTCGAGGAGGCAGTGGCGAGGGAGGTGAGGGAGGAGGTGGGGCTGTGCATCACTCACACGCGCTACCACTCGTCGCAGCCGTGGCCTGGTGAGAGGAGAGGAGAGGGCACTTGCACAGCACTGCACAGCAGTTTTGAGACGTCTCAAAACTTGCATACGTGCTGCTAACACATGGGTGGCGAGGAAGATGAGGTGAGGGAGGAGGTGGGGCTGTGCATCACACACACGCGCCACTCGACTCAGCCATGGGCAGGTGAGAGGAGAGAAGAGGGCGTGTGTGCCGTGGGCAGGTCAGTGGATTCATACCACTCCCGCTACCACTGATCTCAGCCACTGAACACCCACCTTTTTTTTGCAAGGAAGGGGGTTCTGGGTGAACCCAGAAGGGAATGACTCTGAGTGATGAACGGTTGTCTCTTGAGTCTCTACCAGTTGAATCTGAAGCCACTGCCAGTTGACAACTCAAAGCACCACTGTGGCGTGGCGATGTGGTATGAAGGCGGACGAAGCACCTGCTGGCCAGATATGCTGAACGCAGGGCTAAACATGCAGCATCTCCCTTGCGTCTCTCTATACCACTCCCCTACTTCTCCTCGCCCCCACCCGCCAGTGGGGTTCGGCAGCATGCAGTGTCAGCTGATGCTGGGCTTCTTTGCATTCGTGGACGACACTGCTGTCACCCTCAACGCACATGAGCTGCAAGGTGCGAGCGTGCATGTGTGCGTGTGTGTGTGCAATGCGTGTGTGGCAGCATGCAGTGTCAACTGATGCTGGGCTTCTTTGCCTTTGTGGATAACACCTCTGTCGCCCTCAACACACACGAGCTGCAAGGTGCGTGTGCTCGTCATGTGTGCATGCGTGTGTGCATGTGTGTGTGGTAAGTGTGTGAGTGCATATGCGTGTGTGTTAGCTGATGGTGGGCTTTTATGTGTTTGTCAACGACGCCACTGTTGCCCTCAACACACACGAGCTGCAAGGTGTGGTGTGTGGTGCATGTGGGTGTGGGGAGGTGGGTGCGTCTTGTGGGATGGTGTTGCAAGGTGCGTGCGGGTGGGTGACATGTACGTGTGTGGGCGGGGGAGCGTTTCGTGTTTTTGGAACGGTGGTGGCATGGTGCATGTGTGTGGGCTGCAAGGTGTGTGTGGGTGCGTGGGTGTGTTGGAGGAAAGTTGTTAAGGTGCAATGAAGAGTAGGGTGTCAGTAGATTTGCACTGTGGATGCCCGATTGATTCTAGGGGGGTTACAGGCACGTTCACCTGGAGGGTTATGGGCGCACAAACCCGCTACACAAACAAGCCCTTTTATCCCAATGGTCTAGTGGTTGGGATTCTGACATGGTATCAGAGCGGACTCGGGTTCGAATCCCGGTGTATGCACATGTAGGCCGTTGCCGCTGTGCTCATTCCTGGGCCTTCCAGTATGGGGGGGTGTCAGTAGATCTGCACTGTGGATGCCCGATTGATCCTAGGAGGTTACTGGCACGTTCGCCTAGGGGGTTATGGGCGCACAAACCCGCTACACAAACAAGTCATTTTATCCCAATGGTCTAATGGTTGGGATTCTGACATAGGGATTGTCTTGTGTCACATTGGATGTATTCCCAAAGACTGGTTTAGCCATCTAATTGCATCAGTCTCCATATGTGTGCAAGGAAAAGCTGTGGTGTGCAACTCCGTGGGACTCTGTTACTAATACTTTTAGGTGTAATGTTTTTCTTTTCTTTTTTTTTTAGCATGCACTTCTATTCATGCCCTCTCGTGGTTTTGTTTGTGATGGGTTTCCGATGCGACATCGCACCCTACCCTACCCGCACAGTGGAAGCGTTTTGTGTATACCTCCTCCATACAAGATTAGAAATCTTGCATGCGAAAAGTCATTTTCTGCATGCAATCTTCTGTCTGCTGCAGATGCTCACTGGTTCACACGCCAGCAAGTTGCAACTGCACTTTCCCCTGAGAGATACAAGACGGAATGCACTGCAGCGAGTTGCAAGGTGTATCTGAAACTAGTTCCGCAAGCGCACGAGGACTCGCTGCCCCCAGAGCATAAGCCCAACAACCATGCGTATGTCCCAGGACCCTATGCCATAGCCCACCATTTGATAGCTACTTGGTCGCATGACAAAAGCATTGTGGATGGAGGGCACAGTTGCTTGTGATCTAACAAGAGCAGTTACCGTACAATGAGGATGTCACCAAGTTCAGTTTTTTTATGCGAGAATGCCAAAATGCACAGTTTGTTGTATGGGAAATGGATATGTGCATGTTTTCAGATCAAATCAGTAGCCAGTTTGTTTTCAATACCGGTACATGCAGATGACAGTGACTACATGTTATGGTGCCATGTATTTCAACTACAAAAAAGAAACTGGTGGCACCATTGTTAATTGCAGGTCCAAGAATGCACAATCTTATCTCAGACTCAAGTCTATGCCCACATCAGCTTTATGAAGGCTGGGTCATCAACAAATCAGTGTGCTCATATGTTGCAGAACGGGTGAATGACTAAAAAAACATGAGGGGCAAGTGGAAATCGATTACCGGTACTACCGTATAATATTTTACGGAACTAAGTGTATTGACAATGATTTGCAGAAGGTTTTGTGGACCTGGTCAATATCAGGACATTTCCTAGTCAGCTATTTTTCTCGCGTGGAGTACCACCTCACTATGAGGCAGCTTCACTCGAACTTGCGGTGCGAATCAGCTGGATATGGGTGTTCTTTGGCACCATGATTATGCCACGTGCGAAGGTCACGACTTGTTGGTCAATGGTGAAAATCCACGTCGGACGCAAACACCCTCGTTTGCCCGACAGAGTCGAGGAGACGGTGGCCACGGAGGAGCCACATTTGACGTACTGAAACTCTAATTTCCACAGATGACACGAGTGTTTTTCAGTCCACGTCGTCCTCTGTGCGCGAACAACAGAAGCTTGTGGCCAGGGGTGCAGCCCGCAGCATCCAGCTCGGCCCCGAAAAGTTACTGCCACGGCAGCACAGTGAGGCGACGAGCTGGCACGCCATTTGCGATCGGGGCTGTGCTGCTTCCAGCGCACATTCCGGTGCAATGTGGTCCCCCACCATTCGCATTCCGTGTCGCGCTGCACTCGCGCTTCGTTCCAGCACAGGTACTAGCTGGCAGCATGTGGCGGAAGCATCATCAAAATTTATTCCCCCCAGCGCCGCAGTTCCCCCTAAACAGCTCGCGCTGGCACTGACTTCACACCTCCTTTCCACCAGAGGAGGAGAAAACGGCTCCCGTATTGTCTCCCGTGGCGCGGCGCTGCCGTGGCACTAGCAGCAATGCCACGCTTGATTGGTTGGCTTCTCTTCCCGCAACCCTCAACGTTTCCGACTCCCCGCATCCAAACGGAATCGCGCATTGCATTGGAGAGAGTGTGTGTGATGCCTGGTTTTGCGAACACCTATTCGAGGCAAACTCGACATCGCTAACTCAGCTATCAAAATTCTTTCGCACTCCAAGCAGTGCTTACTTAGTTACTCTCAGTCTAGTAGTAGCCGCTATACAAACTCCTCTGATCCGCACTACATCTTGGACCCAGGAACCTGCATCTGTTCTCCTTCCGACCGACCTTCGGCTGCCTGTTATTACTTCGAGGCACGATGATTGCATACGCCTGGAGCCTGGCCACCGCCACCGTCGGCATTCTCGGTGGAGTCTCCACGGTCGTGTTCGGCGGGAGCTACATGGCGCACACCCGGATCGTGCAGGCGGTGAGTGAATCGCACTCCCGATTCTTTTCTGTATTGCGATGATGTGGCGGCGGTGGTGATTCTCCTTGGGTGGACTAGGAGGTTCCGTGGATTAAAGCCGTACTCTTTGGCTGTCGTGCATTTACTCGTGCTATTACTTACTGCTGTCGATTCTTTTATCACAAACTGATCCACGTTGCGGTTTCCCTCTGCCAATTTTATTTCTTCCTGCAGAAACAACTCGCGAAGAGAAGAATGAGTGAAAGCGCTGCGCCTTTGGCTCCCAAGGTGGAAGCGAGCTGAAGGTGGCTCTCGTGATCTTGGCGCTCGCGAGGTGCTACGATAAACAGAAATAATCTCAGCCGTTGATATACCTCAGTTAGCCCGCTCACACGATGGCCCAGTAGTGTACATTCTTCTGCGAAGTAAGCAGCACTCCGGCAAGCAACTTAGGTTGTAAAATGTGAAGTAGAAGTCAATGATTGTATTTTTCTCGCTGAATCGTTTCCACATAAGACGCCGTTGAGATGAGAGAAGTAACATGGCTTATGCGTTCACATGGCTTGATCCAAAGGAGAGTCTAGGAGAACGTAATTGTCAAGAAGGGCTTCAGATAGTGTTAAAACGTTGTATCGTAGCATACTGAGAGAATAAACCAATACATTGTTCAGGAAAAAACCCTGGACACTGGAGCAAGACGTGAATGTAAGAAATCTAGCATGTTCCACATTTCTGGAGTCAAGCTGAATCAACTTTTAGAATGAATGTTGAAGATAGCACATACTTTTTGAAAGAATGTGCCGAGCTAGTCACATAAACCTAGTGTGCTTCACATACTCAAAGCGGCCCAGTGCATCATATGCTACCATCACCTGCTGCACCTTCCACTCTCCATCCGCCATGTACCCTGTATCCTCAATCCCACCTCCCTCCTCCCCTTCACCTCCACCCAACTCCACCCCTCCTCGATCCTCACTAACCCCATCACTACCACCCTGCACCCCTTCCCCTCCCCCCCTCACATACGTCACAACCAGCCAAAACTCCTCCCCTTCTCCTCCGCCCTCGCGGCTGAGCATTGGCTCTAAGGGGGACGGCATAGCTACCACCACGCCCCTAGGCAGAGCCCACACACCGTACTTGGTTTGCTGGGCCTCGGGTATCCCTGCCAAGTACCCTGAAAATACCTCCATGTTCTGGGTTTCCAGCCTCTTGTTCGGATGCTCAGGAAGAGGTGTAGCATAGAGGTCAGTGTAGATGTAGTGAGGCACTCCATAGAGGGGCTTGGGAGGGAGAGGGGGGAGGGAGGCCGGCAGGTGGGTTGGAAGAGGGGTCTTCCAGTGAGGGCTGACCCACGTGCCATGCAGGGATTGGCCGGAAGGGTTTGTGCTTCCGTCCGTAGCTTGGTATCTGCGAGCAGTGTGATCGTTGTTGCGGCTGCCCGTTGGTAGCACAGTGTCATCTTGCCTCAGAGACAAGGAAGCTTCCGAGAAGGCCACGTTGAGCTGTGCTCCGGGGCCTGTGAGGAAGGGGCGGTGGAGGCAGAGGAGAGGAGATGGGTGAAAGGGGAGAGAGAGGGAAGCGGGCTTCTCAAACAGAAGTGGATGGTGGTCTCTGTGTGAGAGAGCGAGGTCAAAGCGGCGCGGTGGGATGATTGGAGCGGCGTGGTGGACAGGACTTGCGGATGATTGGACTTGCGGCTTGCATTTACATCTTTGAGAAAGAATTCTCAAAGACGGCTCACAATGACCTACTGCTTGAATGCAGATGTATGACCCGCAGCGCTGTGAGCCCAGTGGCAATGTTCCAAGGTTCTTTTATACACACTCCCCGCGTCCATCACACTCCCCAAACAGCAGCACCAAGCCGTCGCGCGCTTTTCCCTTGGGCCCGACTTGGTCCCTGCGTACCGTCCATGAAGCACACGTTGGCCGTGAGAAGCACTGCACGCCTCGCTGTCCCCCCTCCCATGCTGTCCCCCCTCCCATGCTGTCCCCCCTCCCATGCTGTCCCCCCTCCCATGCTGTCCCCCCTCCCATGCTGTCCCCCCTCCCATGCTGTCCCCCCTCCCATGCTGTCCCCCCTCCCATGCTGTCCCCCCTCCCATGCTGTCCCCCCTCCCATGCTGTCCCCCCTCCCACGCCCCTTGTCACGCTCACCCTCCTCTCCCTCCCCCTTCCCCTTCCCCACACCCTCCCCCCTGCCCTCCCCCTTGCCCTCCCCCTTGCCCTCCTGCCTGCCTCCCCCCACCTGCAGCTGCGCCATCACCACAGCCCCGCCCCCATTCCCCTCGCCCCCGTCCCCCTCCTCGCCCCCCCCAGCGCAGAGCACGCGCGCCCCATGGCTGTAGATGCCATAGGGCAGCGCAATGCCGTTGGTGTGGCTGGCACGCACACAGGAGAAGGGCCACACTCCCTCCGCCACCTTGGCTGGGAAATCGCCTTGTCGGTTGAACTGCTCGTGCTGTGCGGAGGGATGGAGAGAGAGGGGTGAGGGGAAGGGAAGTCGCCAGGTTGCAACACAGGAGAAGGGCCATGCGCCTCCGCCACCTTGGATGGAAAGTCCCCCCGCCGGTTGAACTGCTCGTGCTGTGTGGGGGGATGGAGAGCAAAATAAGAGAGGTGGTCAGTGGTGAGGTGGCGCAGAGGGATGAAGAGCAACAGTAGTCGCCCGGCTGCTTCACAGGAGAAGGGCCACGCGCCCTCTGCCACCTTGGCTGGGAAATCGCCCTGCCGGTTGAACTGCTCCTGCTGTGCGGGGAGGGAGGGGAGGAGAGAGTGAGGGTGAAGGACAGGGGTTGCAGAGAGAGGGGTGAGGGGAAGAAGATGGGTGAATAGCAAGGTAGTCGACCAGCTGCTTCATAGGAGAAGGGCCATGCGCTCTCCACCACCTTGGCTGGGAAATCGCCTTGTCGCTTGAACTGCTCGTGCTGTGCGGAGGGATTGTGCACAGAGGGTGTGGGAAAGGGCCACGCTCCCCCCGTCACCTTGATAGAGAGCCGGCTGCTGATGGCTTGCACATACGCAGGGGGAGGGGCAGGGGCAGAGGCAGGGACAACAGTAACAACAGGGGCAGGAACACGGGCAACGCCAAGGGGAAGGGCGAGGGCAGGGGCAAGGATAGGAGCATGGCTCGGGCTAGGGCAGGAGCATCTTACCCGCAGCACGTACTCATCTGCACCGCTCTCCACCTCCACGGGGGTGATTTCGCGCAGCAGCTCCAGCGACAGCTTCGCCTCTCGCCCCTGCGCTGGTAACCAGAATCGCCAGTGCCCGTAGCGCGTCGCCAGCTGTGGGCGGTACCGCTGCCAGTGCTCCTGGGGGGTGAGCACTCGCCCTCCGGTCCTAGCGTTGATCGTGCGGTTATACTCGGTGCGGTTCTCGTCAGCCCCTCTGAAAGACTTATCACGCTCCTCTGCCCGCCCCATGTGGGGCGAGGCGACTTTTGCGTGGCCATCCGGATGCTCGTTCCCATCCCCGTTGTTGTTGGTAGCTCCGGGCTCGCGCCGCAGAGCGGCGTTCGCAATATGCAAGGCGCCGCCGCCGCCGCCGCTCAGAGCTCTCCGCCGTGAAGCGCGGCGAGGAAGACGAAGCGACCGAGTTCCCTTGGAAAGGGCCGGCGCTGACGTACAGCGAATCCCGCGATTCGCGGAAGAAACGGCGGCGGGATAGAATCCGCGAGGCGCGGAACGGCCCTCAATGCACTGGAAATGCTCGAGAGAGAAGGCGCTGTTCGCAACGAATACGATCCCGGAAGGGGAAGGCAGGGCGATGTTGAGGCTCATGACTGGAACGAGATACGCCGAGCTTGGGAATGGAAATAGGTCTCTCGTGGTAGGAGGCAGAGACTATAACTCGTCGATGAAATCCCATCGCGTTCACGTGGCTCGCGACGACGGAAGTCGGTATTCTGGCCCGCGCGGCTCGGCTGCAAAAGGTCGTGCGGGCTGGGGGAGACTGTCGCGACGCGCGACATCGCATGTGAGTGATAGGCGTGGTCGGAGTATCCTAAGGACGGAGAGAGCAAGAAAGAACAGCGAGATCTCTACGGCCCTTCCAACGCTGGCGAGAGTGATGGGATGGAAACTCCGAAAGTAAGTACGCGCTAAGAGAATCTTCACGGTGAGGAAAGAAAGAGAGCACACGTTATGTAATTGGAAATTTCCGCAAGGCATTTGGAATCTCCAGGAAGCTTTCGCACAAGTTTGCCAAGGATTGCAATTTGCAAGGCCAAACCCTCCGATGTTGCAAGTTGGCAGATTCGTTTGCAAATTGTTCCAATCCAAACATTTGACCAGCCATAGTAAGCCCTACGAGTCAGACACCAGCCTGCATCATGCGCACTACACGTAAACCTCGTTCTCCAAGGCCTGTGGGGCCACCCTCTGCGAATGTCGCAGCAGCTCGAATTCTCCTTCTCGCGGCCCTCGCGATCGCAGCCGCCGGATACTCCGAGTCCGTTCCCAGCGCCAACCGCGCGGCACTGCCGCCACGCCAAGCTGCCTCGCGTCTAACCAAACAACACCCGTCTCGCCTACCTCGACTCAGTCGCGCCGGACGCTCGTTAAAGCTCGTCGGCGCCAGCGCTCCTGTGGCCGGGTCCAAGACAGGCCTCACGTTTTCAGAGTAAATTACTCTGTTTCTCTGAAAATCAGAGTCATTTTTGAAAGTAACTCTGTACCCGCTGGGTAATTTTTTTGGGACTTCCGATTTCTCTGATTTGTCAGAGTTATGCTGTAGTTTACTCTGAGGCCTCTGGGTTTTTTTTTCGGGGACCGAATTTACTCTGTATAGGGAATACCTGCCGCCCCCCCCTCCCCCGCCCCCCTCCCCTCCCCACCTCCCCCTGCGTTTAGCGGGTTTTCCCCGAATCGTCGAGATCATTCTCCTGATTTCTGTCGTGTGTTGGCGGCAATATGAGCACTGATTGGCTACCGTAGTTTGACAACTTTCCCAACCAGCGCACGATGCCAGCCAGTCCCCTCTCTCTTTATGTCTGAAGTGAACGTCGACGTTTCCCGACGAAACTTTGAGGGACGTCGAGGAATCATGACGGTCGGAACGCTCAATCCGAGGGTTGAGATTCGCCAGCATTCCCCGACGAAACTGTACATCCGTCGACATTTCACTTCAGACACACTCTTTGGGGGTGTCCGAAGTGAAACGTCGACATCCGTGGACATCCGTTTGGGGATGTCGGTAAATCCTGACGGTTGGAACTGTCGATCCGAGGGATGACATTTACCGACATCCAGCGACATCTACTGACGTTTCACTTCGGACACGCCCTTAGGGCGTGTTCCTACGCTCTTATCAGGCAAACCTCTTGTCAGCCTTGCCTGGTAAAAGTAGCGAGGGTTTTTGGGTTTAGGAAATTTTCAGGGGGAAAAGTAGCGAGCTTGATAAGGGGTTGCCCTGATAAGGGGCCGTAGGAACACGCCCTTAGTCAGATTATCGGTGCCGCCAACACCTCACTCTGAAACATCGCAGTGAGGGGGGAAACGTGGGCGACGCGGAAATGCAAGTACAAAAGGCGTAACAAAAACCTATTAAGGTCATGGTACACCAAACTTAACTAACATCAGAGTAGAGAAAAATATTACTCTGACGTGCCTGGTTTTTTTTTTGAAAGTATAGGGTTACTCTGACAAATCAGAGTAAGGCGCAGGAACAACCCTAGATTTCAGAGTTGGGAAAAAAACTACTCTGGAAATCAGAGTACCTAAAATCCAAAAATAGGCCCTGGTCCAAGAGTGCCGTGGCAAGGCCTGTTGTTCTCGAAGATTCGCAATGTGAGTCGGCTGCCTCCCAGCGAGCTTGCTTCGCGGCCCTCATCCTCCCACCATCCCGCACTGCCGCAGTCCCGACCACCCACACTCTCCCTTCACCACATCATTCAAGCAGGAACCTTGCGCGCCGCCGCGCGCACGCCAAGGCCCTTCTCGCCCAACTTCATTGAGAACAAACGTAGTAGCACACATAGTCCAAACGAATGGGCTTATGACTTCATGGCTTCATGGCTTCGTATGCCCTATTCCCGGGCGCTGGCCTGTTCACCCGAATCTGCTCCATTCCCCCTTGCCCCGAATCCCGCAGCTTAGTTGCGGAAGACGCGTCCGTCTAGACGCAGCGTTTAAGACGCTAGACGCTAGACAGTGTAGATTAGACGAAAACCCAGGCAGGCCTAAACAAATTGTTCGGGCAGACCAAGAAAAGTTCAATGGGGCATGGGGAGGGTGGGGGACATGCACCTATGTCACAATGGGGTGAATTTTTCTCCGTACCATAAAATTTTCCCCATTCTTAGACTTCACAAAAAAGTTCACATCTCATCATATATAGTTAGGTTTCCATTGTCGGAATACTGAACGAGAATGAATGAACTATGAATGAGTTGGGTACAAGTACTAACCCTAATTGGGTTGTACCCCTTATGGGCTACCCCACTACAGCCTACACAATGTAAGCACTATAACATTTTGACGCACCCCTATAGGCAAAGTGGGGGTGAACAAGTGGTCACAAGACCAGTCAAGAAAAGCAAAGCAAGCTCAGGGTGGATCACGAAGTCACCACACATTCCGAGCACAAGCAAATGGCCACAAGGCCAATTCATATGCAGAGTTATATAAAAGAGAACAAACAGTACAGTGATCATACCCTAGCAAGTGTAAGCATGCAGGTATATATATAGATCACAGTACAAGCAAAGTCAAGCAGTGAGTAAGTGAGGCAAAGTAGGCACAAGGCCTAAAACAGTAGAGAAGCGCTGATGATCACCAGACTGAAGTGCCTTGGTGAATATATCAGCAGTGTTGGCCCGAGTGGCCACGTAAGCAAGACGAAGCTGACTACGCTGCCGCAACTCTCGAGCAAGGAAGTAACGCAGAGCAATGTGCTTCGTTCTGTGCTCCAGTCTGTGCTCCTGACACAAGGCAATCATGGCCTTGTTGTCCATGTACAGAACTGGAGAAGAACGAGGCCGCTCTCCCAAGTCGGTCAGCAGGTAGGTGAGCCAGCGTAACTCCTGTGCAGCCATGGCCTCTGCATAGATCTCAGCCTCACAACTGGAACGGAGAACAGAAGACAAGCAGGTAGAGCGCCAAGAAACAGAGCCGGATTCAAGGCTGAAGGCGTAACCCTGTGACGACCGCTACGAAGCCAAGTCGTCAACCCAAGAAGAGTCTGCGTGTCCAGTGAGGACAATGGACCCCGTCCTCCAAGCACGAGCCCCATGGCCGACGTACTGCACAAGTAGCGCAACACCCTCTTAGCGGCCTCCCAGTGCTCTGGTCGGTGTCTCCCGGGCGCAACGTAGCGTGCAATGATGCTAAGAGGGTAGGCAAGGTCAGGTCGAGTGCAGGTCATCAGGTACATGAGGCAGCCCACAAGCTCTGGATACGGGCCACTAGGCTCTACAGACTCTTCCCGAAGGTGGAGTTGAGAGCGAGTGACCGGTAGGCAGAGGAGTGGACTGTGGCGAGGAATACCGGAAGCCGAAACGCTGAAGGACCTGCTGCACCATGTGTGACTAAGTCAGGGTGATGGTGCGCTGTGCTCTGTCCCGGGTGATCTGCGAGCCAAGATAGCTGTGCAGTTCACCCAGGTTAGTGCAGGTGTGTCTCTTCTGCAGCTCCGACTTCACAAGGGCCAGTGCCTCAGTGTCAGCAGTGGGAAAGACCAAGTCGTTGACGTACACTAGGACATAGAATGGCTGCAGCGAAGTGTCGGTGCGTAGAAACAGCGACGAGTCAGCAGTAGAAGGAGCAAACCCAAGAGCCGCAAGCGTCGTCCTCAGTGTGTCGTGCCACTTGCGAGGCGCCTGGCGGAGACCGTAGACTAGCTGCCGGAGGATCCACTGGGTACCTGCAGGAAACGACCCAGTGAAGCCAGATGGGCGGCGCAACCAGATCTCCTCGTGCAGACTGCCCTGTAAGAAATCTGTGCTGAAGTCAAGAAAGTGCAGCTCGTAGTCACGCTGAGTGGTGACGTGCAGCAGCACCTGAAGAGTGGTCATCTTTGGGGTAGGGGAGAAGGTATGGAAGATGTCAACTCCTTGTCGCTGTCTGAAGCCTCGTGCAACGTAATGAGCCTTGAAGACAGGCGGAGAACCCGGCGGCCGCTTCACCCTGAAAATCCACATGCCATCGACTATGTTCGGCCCAGAAGGGGGAACTGCGTCAACGTAGGTGCCTGTGGACTTCCAGGATGCCATCTCTGTGTCCATGGCTGTCTGCCACTGAGAGGACTAGGGACCTGTAATCGCCTCTCCGTAAGAGCGCGGGGTCAGGATGTCTGGTGCATCCGGGTCTCCCTCAGGTGCAAGCAGCATGGCCACGAGATGAGGTGCAGCAGCTGCAAGACACTCAAAGTCCTCCTGCCTGTCCTCAAGGATGTCCGTGCAAAGAGCACACTCACCCCCGACGGACGGACGACAGTCTGACTCAGACTCAGCAACATGACTAGTGGCGTAGTCGAGACGACAAGGGGCAGAAAAGTCAACAAGCTCAGCAACTAGGGCAGACGCAGCAGTGGACTCAAACGAAGGGTCAGTGACAACAACGGCTAGAAGACGAGGGACAGTAGGACTGGCAGCACGAGCTAAGTCAGACTCAGGGCCAGGAACGGCTGTAAGAGAGGACGCAAGAGGAGGCGGCGGAGGAACTCGAAGTGGAACAGAGGAAGGACGAAGTGCCATAATGTGAGTGCCAGGGACAGGATGAGGACGCGGACGAGGAACACGACGACTAATGCGAATGGCGTGAACAGGCGAGGCAGGACGAGA